TGTAATTGTTTAATTAAATTATTTTAATTGACATATACTTTTTATTTGGTAGGTTGTCCAACCAGATGCCAAAGGACGTATCTACGGCGTCGGTGGAATGGCGACTCAGTTGGGTGGTGGTCATCCAGATGCAACATCGATCGGTCGCCACGTCACACTCACTAAGGAGGTCGAGGTGTTGAAGAAAAAGATCGAAGAGTTCGAGGAGGATGGCAGAAAGATTGCCAGACTAGAAGAAGCTGAGACATGGATTGCACGTTACGAGACGCTTTTCGCTCGGCTATTTCCTCCTCGTGACGACCCACCAAAGGTGCAGGAGATACATCATAACTCATTTCTGACTCCTCAATCCGGAGTCGGATCTGAGTCCGGAGTCGGACCTTCTACGGCACTGACGGACCAAAGAAGCGGATCAGATAATCCGGATAACTATTTTGTTTAATTTGTTTTAAATAAATATTTTTTATTTAATAAATACTTTTTAATTTTAAATAAATATTATTTATTTTATATTTTTTTTAAATTATTTTTATAATTTTAATTTAATTTAAATAATTATTATTTATTAATAATTTTTTTAAAAAAACATTATATATTCAAATTGCGACGGAATGCGACCGAACAATCTGTCGCTATGTTGCGACAGAAACAACAACTTCACAGCGACCGAATGCCGACCGCTATTTAGCGACAAAAACTTTGCGACAACTTCCTCTGTCGTTCAGCGACAAAAGTCCGACAGAGCGTTTTTGTCGTTATTTGGCATGTCGAACATATCCGACGGCGCCTCCGATTCGAATCTCCCTACACCGACTAGGGGTGGGCAAAAATACCCGAAATTCGGGTACCCGACTTAACCCGCGGGTCAGATACCCGAAATTCGGGTACTCGGCGGCTTATTGAGACGAGATCGGGTTTATATTTTAGAAAAACCCGAAATTCGGGTTCGAATCCGGGTATTAGAATTCGGATTCGGGTATTACCCGCGGATACCCGAAAAATAATAAATTTACAAAATTACCCCTATTTTTTTAATAAAATTACGTTAAAATCTAGGGCTACATCACTTATCACTTTCAAATTTCAATTCATCTATTTTCCTTTTCTCCTTCGGCGGCTCCATTCTCTCTCTAACTCTTCACCTCCTCTCTCTCTCTCTATACTCTCTGTCCTCCATTTAACTTCTCTCTCTCATGTGTGCCCCCAAGCTCTCTCTCCATTTCTTCTCTCTCATGTGTTATCTACTCTCATTCTCTATTTATCTACTCTCTTACTCATAGATGTGGTCTTTCATTTTCTATAGAAGTATCGTTTATACTTCTTGTTTCATCGAGATCTTTCATGATGAGTTATATAATGATTCTGTTATGTTTCTAATGAATATTATTGATATTCTTTTGTAAATAGATAAAATGTGATAATTTTATGGGTTTTTTTTTCTGATTATGATGAATAAATATATTTTTTTATTAAAATTTTGTATTTAAATTTCGGGTTCGGGTATCCGCGAGTACCCGAGAATTTTTTCGAGTACCCGATTTTCGGATATCCGATCAAAACGAGTACGAGTTCGGGTATTATTTTATATAAATTTTCGGGTTCGGGTTCGGGTTCGGGTAACCCAAAAATCTCGGGTACCCGACCCGTGCCCACCCCTATTTGGGACAGATACCTACTCATTGTTCTGTCGCAATGGTGCGACAGATCTGGGTTCACCGGTCTACGACAGATTACCGACACAGCACATCTGTCGCCAATTTGCGACCGACCACCTACAGCCCTATTTGTCGCAAAATTACGACAGAATCATGACCACACAGATTTTGCAACAACGATTTAGCGACCGACGGTTATCTGTCGCAATTTTTTTTTCCGATAGATTCGTCTTCATGTTGCGACAGATATTTCCGTCGCAAATTTTAACGTTTCTTGTAGTGTTTTGTGCTGCCTAAGTTTTTTGTGAAGCAGGTTGATAGCCTTTGCTCAACTTTTTTATGGAGATCGGGAAATTCGGGAACCCCCTTACACCGGATTGCATGGACAGATGTGTGTCGCCCCCGCAGCGAAGGAGGGTTGGGTTTACGCAGAATAGAAGACTATAATCTGGTATTTAGACTAAAGCTTATATGGATACTCTTTTCTAAATCAGGGTCTCTTTGGGTGGCACGGGTGAGAGTAAACATATTCAAAACCAAAGGTTTTTGGAATACGCAACCATCAATAAGGTTTTCTTGGAACCTTAGGAAGCTTCTGGGTCTTAAAGAACATACAAAGAATCTACTCAGGTTTCAGATTGGAGACGGCACAACAGCACGGTTTTGGCACGATGTATGGACTGACTTAGGTCCTCTGATTTCGTTCATTGGAAACCTAGGCCCTCGGCAACTAAGAATATCAAGGGACGCAACTGTAAGCTGCGGTACAGATGGAACATCTTGGATACTCCCTGGAGCAAGGTCAAACAGAATCCAACAGCTTCAAGTTATATTAGCAGGGACAGCAGTTCCAACCGTTGGAAACGGACCTGACATCCCGCTTTGGAAATATGCTGACAATGATTTCAGGCAACAATTCTCCTCAACAAGAACATGGAGGCTGATTCGCTCACCCAAGCCACAAGTACAGTGGCATACTCTGGTTTGGTTTCGCGAATCAATCCCCCGATATGCTTTTATCCAGTGGCAGGCTATGCAAAACAGGTTGCCGACAAGGGATAGACTTCAGCGATGGGGCATAAATTCTGACAGTGTTTGCACACTCTGTGGAGATGAGGTCGAAACACACCAACACCTTTTCTTCAAATGCAGGTTCAGCAAGCAGATTTGGGAGCACTTTACATCTTGTTGTTGGCCTAACCCTCCTGATGGTCTCGCTGATTTTGTACCTTGGTTGGAGCAGCGGCGCAATGACAACGACAGAAGCCAGGTAACCATTTCCAAGCTCATAGCTCAAGTTTCGATCTATGAGTTATGGAGAGAGCGAAATCATCGTATACATCGTAACAATGCGCGGACAACTGCGGTTATTCGTTGGAAGGTGGATAGAACAATCCGGAGTATACTGCTGGCCAGGAAAAATCATATGCGTAGCACTGATGTGGCGTTATTGGAGCACTGTTACTGTCTCACCGAACACACCAGATCGTGAAGTAAGAAGAAGTTGAAGTTGAAGAATCTTGCTGATAGAATCAGCTTTTTGTACCACTTGCGAATGGGTTATCGTCATTTTGTTTAGTAATTCTGTACAGCTTGGGGCTGGTGGATGTAAATTTGTAAGTCTTTATTAATAGAAATCACCATTACCAAAAAAAAAAGGGCAAAAGAAACAGAGTTAAGCCATGACAAGTGTTCACGCGTCTCTTTGGCCCTCGTGCACCCCCGAGTGATGATTGTGGGATCCCTCGTAAGTTGTTATCACAAAGCTTGGATCGTCTCTCTCTCTTTCTACCCGCTTTTCTTCACCGGGCATCCATCTGCTCTGCATTTGTAGTAGTTCCTGCAAATTACCCGAAAGCTTTCTTATGTATGTGTGTGTGTTTTCGTATCCCATGGCTAATCAAGAATCTTGGGTAGAGATCTTCTTTCTTAATTATATATATATGTTTTCAGCTGGTCCCATGGCTAATCAAGAATCATGGGTAGAGATCTTCTTGTCTATCGTCAGCACGAACGATTGAACTTCAAAATCTGTGTTCCTATATACCTGGGATTAGGTCTGTTCTTCACCATCTTCTTCCCGTACTTCCTCCACTTGTACCCATCATCAAGCACCTCAACTTCAGACCGCGTCTTGAACGCAACTCTCTCTTTCGCTGTCTTCTTCTCTCTCTTACTCTTCTTGTTCCCGTTTCCTTCTTGACCAAAAAAATAAAACAAAATAAAATAAAGAAGACCGTGTTCCCGCTTCCTTCTGACCTTGAAAAATCTCCAAGAACCGAAAAAGAAAACGCAGGCCGACACACACTTACTGGCAGCAGCAGCAGCAGCAGCAACCGTGGAAGAAGTATAGTTGCTTGCTCCTTGGGGGATGTTGTTGATAGAGCAACCGGGTTCACTCGCTTGACAGCTGAAACGATTCATCTGCTGCATCTGCCATGAGACCGCTGACGCAAGATCATCGTCCATCCATTCTTCAGACAAACCGAGGTCAGACAACTCGAACTCAAACCGGGTATCATTGCTGAAACTCATATCTAATAACTTCGTCCTCCCAAAATCTGAATCATCCATGTTTATGTGAAAGTGTTGTCGTATACGTTCTATAAAAGCGAGATTTCTGTTCGCTCTTTTTTGGGCGGGGAGAAGAGAGCAATAGATTCCAATGAAGTTATAGCGTTGGCGTTATTTAATAAGAACTTATGTGTGTATGCATGTATGTACTTGGTGGGTACGTTTTCATGAGGGTTAACTTACATGTGAAGGTGGTCGTGGTGACAGACGATAAGATGGTGGAAAAGACATTATTATTTTATTTTATTTTTATTTTTTTGAAAAAGACTTACGGTTGACTTGCGATTTGTTTTGTAACAACTCATCTATCACCCTTGATGTTCGGTCCAAATGGACTTACATTGGAATTTACGTCACCTATAAAGATTCAGTTTTGAATTGAACCAAGATAGTTATATCCTTCCACACTGTATCGACCAAATACGAGATTAGTTAATACCGTATCGATTAGATATGGGATTGAATTAATCAAGATTACGATTCTACATCGATCAATTACCAATTTTATAAGATTGAATCGATCAGATACGAACCTTTTAAAATTATATAATCGACCGTTGGATGATGTGTTTTACCATGAACACAAAATAAATTCGATCCATATGCCTTGAGAGAATAGATTTGAACCTATTATAACGCAGATTCTTTAGCATATACATACGAATTTTCAAGTCACGAGACTCTTGGAGCCTTCCCCAAGTTACTATCTCTCCTGTTGAAGTCACTTTCATTATCAAAGAGACAACCATTAATCATAAATCTAAATCCTACTATGAAAGCCATTAATGGGATTCAAATCGTAATTGTAATCTGAACATGCAACAGCCACACAGACAAATAAAAAAGATCCGAACCAACCAGAGTTCAGATCTTGACCTGATCCGACCCAGATCAGTTCTTGACCTGGTCCGACCCAGATCAGATATTGACCCGACCCGACTTACCCAGGTCAGGTCCTGACCTAACCCGACAACCTGTACACCTCTGCAAAGGCAACCTGTGATGACTCTGTACCAAAATCAACTCAACCAAGATTCTGAAACCTACAGAATAGTGAAACGAAAATAGCCCCAGTTGGTTGAAGAATGTGTTTCTCTCTCTCTTGTAAACAAGCATTAAAACAGAGCAACAGTCACTAGGAAAATATAAACACAAGTGTTCCTTCATGCAATCGCCGTTGAAGAGAATTATCCCTTCGGTAGGGTACCAGAAATGATCGGTTTTCCGACCAGAGCTCTCTATCTGTTTTTCTAAGCTGGCGATTGATTTCTTCCTCTCTGACTGCTAACTTAAACTTCTTAACGCTAAAAGAGAAAAGGGGACTTGCCTCATTACCAAATCACACTGTCTCTACCAACAAACCTGATCTCACCAGACAGTTAGCTGTCCATGATCATGCCAAGGAATACACAGGAGGAGGCGTCGAGAGAAATGAAGATGAACACTATGATCAAGACCGAGCCCTCTTGTTGCTGCAAGACGGGCATTTATATTGCTTGATATGTTCCGCCCTTGCTGGTGTGATCTTGACACACTTTCCATGGAACCAGTTCTCGCAGATGTCACAGCAGATCCAGAATTCATCAGATGCGTAGTTCTCTCCACATGCCCCACATAGTGTCTCCCCTTGCTCTTCATCCTCCTCATCTTCCACACCCTCGTCTTCCTCCTCGTCCTTGGGTGTTGGCTTGGAATACTTTCCTCGAGATTCTGACAAACGCTGTAGCTTTAGAAGAGACAAAAAAACAGAATAAGTAGAACAAGCATTTAGTTATAAGGCACAAGAACAGCACACTCAACGCTGATAAATCTACATATTCTGCAGAGACATCAGATTAGGCACATCACAAATGATGTGTATTACATATGCCGTAAGAAGCCATTAAATTTTGACATCACGATAAGGATGGGAAATTTGCATTCTATTAAGGACAGGCAAATGCAGTAAAGCCCTTTACCTTGGAGTTTGACTTGGATTTATTGCTGCTATTGTTGGAGACTGAGGATTTTTCCTTTGTCTGTTTCTTGGCAGTGCCTGTGACGACCTCAAATATAGTTGGGAGATCATTGATCATATTGAAAAGCCGTTTCCTGCAACAAAAAATAGTAGATCATTAACAAAACTCTATTACAAAAAGCAGTAAAGCATGGCATATCTCAAACTACCTTGTAGCCAATCAGAGAACAGAACAAAAGAGGCACACAAAGACGAGACAAAAGAGTTCCAGTCGTGGGAGGTGAAGAAAAAAAACTCACCTATCGGCTTTGTCAAATCCAAACCTTGCTGCAAAGAAGAAAGCAACAGCAAGAAGCCATGCGTCACTATGGACAGAAACCAAAGACAACCAATCCTTCTCCTGCATTCCATCTCTGGCAAAGTTGATACCAAGAACAGGCTCCGGGAGCTCAGGGGGAACTTCTTCAGCAGGCAAATTCACCTCCCAATGCTCATTCGGGTGTCCATAAAGGCAAAGATTCTCCTTTTCTATAATCACAACCAATGAGGCAATAAGGCCAACTGGATTCACAAAACTGGACCATAAACATCTCCAAACCAAAAATAAAGCCTGTATTCTTTCAGACAAGACAGACTACAAGAACCTGAGGCATCTACGGAAGGAAACGATTAAAGTAGGCAACACGGAAAAAGAAAACGAGGAAACATTTCTCTTAGTCTGAGACTGAACCCATGATTTTAAACTGTCCAATACGATTTGAGAACAAAACGAGTCATCACTCATCACTCGTCATATTCATAAACTCGGGAGAACAAAGAACATTTGACATACATTGTCAATAGTCCATGGTTAGATGTTACTTGAATAGAGACAAATGTCACGGAACATGAATAGCAGAACAGAGAAAGTGTAGCAAACCAGACACCTAACTGGAAAAATGTCTATATCTTCGTAGCAGCAGACTTCTCATTAAATCAACATTCAATAGATAACCAATTTCCATTTTCCAACCAAATGACGCAAAACATCTCTGCACGTAGATAGAAGCAGAAACCCAACGCGAATTGAGATGAAGCAAGGAAACACCAATTCTTGGGCCAATTTTCCAGCGCTTGAAACCTCAAGTTACATTGCTCTAACCATGACAGAAAAACCAACTCATACGCATTTTCATCAAGTATATAGAGAACATCAAGGTAAAAATATGACCTTGCACAGAAAATTTTGCAGTAACGGAACTCGAAAGCTGAATTCGACCAAGCCAAACAAAGAATCTATCCTTGCTCAACTAGTTCCAAACCAATTCAAAATAAAGCTATCAAAGCAACTGGAGCAAAGATTCTCTTCCCAACCAACGAAGAACTACGAAACCCTAATTCTTCACTTCAACATTCGATTACGGAAAACAACCACAATGAAGTGAAATGCTCAAATTTTCAGGACAAAAAAAAAACCCAGTAATTTTTATCTTCACAGGCATCAACAAACCATAAACCCATCTGGGAAAAAGAAAAACACTCACCGGGATCACACTGTCGATAAAACTCCTGGACATCTGCGAAAAAAAGAACCAACAAACAGTCACTTCCCCGTCAAACTAGAATGAACGAAAGTATAGTAATGAAGTAAAAACCAGCGAATCCCAGAAGAGAAACGAAAAAAGAAGAAGTCAGATGCAGAAAGGAAAAGCGAAGAATTGGACCGGAAACGGAAGAAAAAAAATGTTACCGGCGGTCAAGGCTTTAATCATCCCAGCCCTACGACCCTTGAAATCCCTAAACACCTCCTCCACCGTGCGTGGGTTGTACGCGCCGCTTCCGTCCATTAGACCCGAAACCTCACTGAAGAGCTTCGCCACAGAGAGAGAGAGAGAGAGAGAGAGAGAGAGAGAGAGAGAGAGAGCGAACGGAGGGAAAAGAGGACAAATGAATACGACCTGTTCCAAAATTTTGCAGAGGAGAGAGAGAGAGAGAGAGAGAGAGAGAGAGATGGATGTGAAGAAGGAAGGACGGAACCAAAAAGAATAAATTAAGCGGATTTAAAAACATGGGGGAGAGTCCGTAGTTGGAGAGAAGCCCAGAGAAAAATCAGATGAGGAAGCGACCACCCTATCTTTCTTTCTACTCTATAATCTTGCCACGTGGCAATCCCCGATTCGATTAGGGTTCATCGCCGGCGAAACCATCTTCTCCGACCACCGGCGAAGAGGATCTCGCACATCATGCCGATGTCATAGCATCAAATGTTTGCATATTATGAACCCAAATTTACATGATGCTATATGAAATGTTAATGTGAAATATTATGGATGGTGATTTTGGATTTTGGTTTGTCTTATAATTATTCAGTTTTTTTGGGATTATATTCCGCTTCACTTTCTTTTGATTTTTATTTGAATTCCGATTTTATTAATAAAAATATTTATTTTAAAAAAACCAAAGTTTTCGATTATTTTTATATCTAATTTTAATTTCAGTTTTAAGAAATCAGATTTATTTATTTTTAAAATATGATTACGTATTATTTGGATTGTATCGATTTTTAATATTAATAAAATAAAATAACAAACCTCCATGTTAGACAATGTTTGGTGATGTTTTGGTTAGACGACGTTTGATATGTACGAGGAAAATATGAAATATAAAAATGGAAAATTAAATTAAATAAAATTAAATGGGAAATGCAAAAGGAGAAAATACATCGGAAAGTTATGACATGTGCCTCAATTCGGCTGAATTGAATTTAAGTCTAGCTAGAATTTTGTTGGATATCCTTCCTAAATTATTCAGATTCCCATATTTCAACTTTAGCCCCTGAATTCCTAGGCTATCGGAATTTCACCCCCAATACTTTTTAAAGAAATGAAGAATACATGGCCGCAGAGTACATTTCATACGGATAACGGACTCATCCTCTAATCGCTACAACTCTTGCCAGTGGACGAACATTTTCTTGAATTTGAGGAAACTGTTTGATTCATAAACTGTCTCTCTTCAGAGGTTCCCGATAAGTATCGAGGTTAATGTGTCGATCTTTATGACACATTTCCTCAAAAAATCGTTTTCGCCCACCCGGCTTTCGTCTGCATCTCCAGACACACCTTTGCAAGGAAACTATCATCGTCGATGATATAACCTTCCACAATGGCTTCTCTGAGAACTTCCTCTGCTTTCGTTCTGTTTCCATCTCGGTAATAACCTTTAACTAATTCACCGTACAGACAAGCATCAAGGTTCACTCCCTTCCGACGCATCTCAAGAACAAGTTCCTGAGCCTGAGCCATCATTCCTCTCATTCGGCAGAGGCTGCTTATCACTGTATTGAACGTCACGAAATTTGGAGGGCAACCCATTTCCGGCATGCCCTTCAATATGGACATGGCTAAGTTAAGGTCATTCCTAGCCACAAGAACACTAATCACGGAATTAAAGCTTGAAACTTTGAGGTTCATCTTCTTTTTCCGCATTTCTGCAATAAGGGATAAAGCTTTATCTGGTTTCTTCACCTTGCAATACTCGCGAACTATTAGTTCATAGCATTTTGCGTCCAAGCTCGTGTTGGAGTTTCCCATTTGCTTGAAGTATTGAAAGGCTTCATCCGATCTCCTGGCAAAGCAAAACCCTCTTAGAATGCTTGTATGAGTCGCTAAATTTTCCTTCACACCATTCAATCTCATCTCCGTCATCATTCTCTTCGCTTCATCTACTTTCCCTCGCAAACACAAAGCATAGATTATCGCATTGAACGTCACGATATTTGGCTCATGGCCGATCTTCATCATCTCTCCCATGTAACCCATTGCCTCGTCGAATTCTCCGATCTTGCAATAGCCATCAACCATTGTACTATAAGTGACTATATCGGGCAAGCAATCTTTGTCACCAGACGCCATTAGGCTAAACAGAGATTTGGCGTTTTCCATATCGCCTTTCTTGCAATACCCATTTATGATGGTATTGAAAGCTATAGGATTCGGTCTCACGGGCATTTCATCAAACAGCTTCCGATCTAAAAAAATGACTTACCAGGTTTCTAGGAAAAGTGAAATAAAAAAACTTGACCGGAGAATTTTTGGTTTTCTAATCTCCAAAAAATGGGAAAACTAGTAGGCAGAAACATCCGGTTTCACAATGCCATCGTTCAACATCTGATTGAAAATCGATCTAGCCAAACTCATCTTGTTAGCCCTAACAAGAACACCCAACAATGCATTATACGAGTACAAGCAATTCCCATCTCCAATACTTTTCGCTCTGTGGAACCAAAACACCGCACCTTTGAGATTCCCGCGATCTCCGCTCGCTTTAACGAATCTAGAAACAAAGAAGTCGCTGAAATTCCCAGACTTCTCGAGGATAGAAGCCGCGACGGAGAAGAGTGAACGCGAGAGGAGGAGATCAGTGATGGCGGCATAACAGGAACGGGAGTGCGAGTAATTTTGAGGATTGGGACTTGGATTCGATGCCCAGTTGAAGAAAAAGAGGGCTCGTTTAGGGTTTGTCTGCCGATTGATTACTTCGTTGACGAGGCCCGGGCTTAGGTACGGCGAAAACTGATTGAGTGGGCAAGACACGAAGCATTGGGGTCTAGGGTTTTGTGGATTTAGGGTATTCAGAAGGGAAATGATGGCTTCTACGAGGTCCGACAGATTTCGTGTTTGATCGAAGATGGTCGGTGCTCGAGGTCGAAGAAGATGATGAGCGGCCATTTTTTCTCTTGCCGTTTATTACACCTTTACCTGCAGAGGGAATTTCCGGTGGAGCGGTGAAATGCGATAAAATGTATTTGGTGTCATTTATAATAAAAAGAATTTTCTTATAATTTGTTAATTTTAATTTAAATAACTTCACACGCCACATAACCAGTGGATAGTATTATTTTAAAAATACCCTTAATTTTTTGAAAATTTAGTACTAATACGAATATCAAATTAGCAAATTAGCGATATTCAAAACCTTTCCATGAGATAGATACTCTAAATTCTTCGAATACCCAATTTTAAGGTGAAATGCACCGAGGCTAAAAGTTGTTTGGATTTCAGAGTAAACACGAGAATTCCCAAGCTCCACTACGAATCAGAAGAGGGTATAATCTATAAATCACCTCCATTCCACGGCTAATCTCTCCTTCTCGGGTCCCACTTTCGTTGTCGGGTTTCTTGGGAAACAAGAAAAGAACCGGAAAGATTCGAGCTTTTTCGTTGTATTGAGATCGAAAACGCAGCCGATGACTCTGTTGTCATGTTAAAATCCGGGGTTCCGCGGAAGTTAGCCGTATCCAAATACCCAGAACACCATCTTTGTTTCCGCCGTCTCTTGCAATTTCACTAAGTGATTAACCAAACCTAACGAAAACCCGGATTAAACCGAAACAAACCAACAACTAAACACAGGAACCCAATAAAAGTCGGTTTAAGGTTTCGGAATTCGAATAGAGAAACAAAACCGGTTAACCAAGTTCGATGATGTCTTTTGGGACAATGAGGATCGGAGAGGAAAAATATAATGTTTTCTTTATATTGTACGATTCCATGATACAACAACTATCTAGATAAAAAAAAAATAGTGTCAAATCTTTTTCAAAATTGAAGTGGTTCCATTATCCAAAATAGTCGTTGAGAGAGTACGAGAATGTTAATAGAAAGATTGCTTCTTCTGGTATGCCTTTGAAGATCACCGATTTGCACATTCTCTTGAATGTCGCGAGGTAAACATTGAGGTCTTCATAACACCATCCTCGAAAGTTTTGCGTGCGAGTATTTGGATAAATGTTGGTTTAAGTTTAAAATTTGTTCGACTGGTTATCGACTTTCAGATACATGATAGGAATTCCATGAACTTGGATGAGTTGTACTCACCATACGTCTCAGCTCATGGTTATCGACTCGACGTAAGGACGGTTGTAGTGCTTTTGTGGGGTTGTGGAAGTTGTGGTAGTTGATTACCGATACCCGCCATTTTTGTTTGTCGTCTTCGATCTTTCAATTTTTAGGTTGTATGGTTGCAGGTTCTTACTTCATTTGAAATGATGAAAGAAATCTATATTTAAGAAGATTGAAATTGATTAGAAATGATTATGAAGATGATTGAGAGAAATTAAAAATACAAAATCAATTAACAAATAATGATAATTGTGTCAATCATTTCTTGATTTATTTGTTTTCATTATATATTATTTTTTTAAATTTCGGAGATGGCTTTTATTTTGAGGTTTTGGCTTTAGTTTTTTGTTTTTGGCTTTTGTAGTTTTTACAGTTTTTTAGAAAATTTAATTGGTAAAAATAATATTTTAGCTTTTGACTTAAGATTTATATTTAAAAATTACTAAAAAGGATTTTTATTATTAAAAAAAATCATATTTATTAATACTAGTAATAACAATAGATATAAGATGACTACAATATATATTTTGAATAAAAAATTTTGAATTACATACCTCAAATTTTGTTTTTTTATAAACTTTTTATCAAATATGAGTTATGATAAAAATGGTAATAATATTATCTATATGTATAAATGAAATTATTTTTAAAATGATGGGTATTTTTATTTTTAAATAATTTATATAATTATATTTTTTGATAAAAATGAAAAAATCTCTTAACAAATCCCTAAAATCTAGAAAAAATTAGTTTTTGGCTTTTACATGATTTTTCTAAAAAAATGACTTACCAGGTTTCTAGGAAAAGTGAAATAAAAAAACTTGACCGGAGAATTTTTGGTTTTCTAATCTCCAAAAAATGGGAAAACTACTCCCAATCAAGGTCTTCTTTCTTTAATTATATTTTTATTGTTTCTTCTAAATAGATGAATTATTTTTATTGTAAAACAACAATAGGAAGAAGAGATGTAGTAATAAAAGTGTTTTTTTGTTTTATTTTTCTCTTTTTTTCTTTCTTTTTAATTTTTCCATTTTATTTTTCAATATGGTATCAGAGTAGCGTTACGATCTGATCTATATATTTCTTTTTTCTTAGTTTTTATTTTCTACTCTCTTCGTTTTTTGAGTTCTTAATGTTCATTAGGGGTGGGCATAGTATCCGAAAAAACCGATCCGATCCGTTATTCGACTCGTATCCGAATCGAAAATTCGGATATCTGGAGTCCACGGATCGGATACAGATATTGGTTTCAAAATATTTGTCGGATACGGATATCAAAATAAAAATATTCGATATATCCGATCTGATCCGTACTTTTTAATAATATTAATAATATATGACTAGTTTTGTAATTAGTTTATATGTAAGGGTAACTTTACAAAAAATAAAACTTAAGTTAGGGTTTTCTCAAGATTTCCAACACTCCTACGTGAGTTCTTCTGTCGCTTTCACTCTTTGTCTCTCTCTCTCCCTCTCTTATAGCTCTCCAGTCTCCGCTAACTCTCTCTTCTTCTCGACCATTCTTCGTATTGCAGATATTTGGATCTAAAGATACAGTTTCTACAAATCTTTTACTCATCGATTTGTTTTTTTTTTTACAATATTTTGTTGCACATAGAGATTTGTTCAAAAAGAGTTTTGATCGAAATATTTTTTGTTATAGATAGAGATTTTACATGGTACATTGAGCAATATTGATCAGAAAAGCCTATTAAACTTATAGAACAGAAGAAGTGATTGAAAGTCTTTGTTAGAATATTTTATGTTTCCACTTGGAGTTGTCTTTTGAAGAATGTCTTGATTGGACGAGTTGGGCTCTTGTTAGAAACCTTGGTCGTATTCTCACTTGCAGTTCTCGTAGAATGTTTCTATAGTTCTTTCGCTTGGTCTGTGACCTTAATTGCCAAATGGGAATTTTGAATATACTATATAAATTCCAGTTTATTTATATTTTAGATGTTGTTATTAGTATTAAAGCAAAAAGTTGTTATTTTTTAAGGTTTGGTGAATCATAATATCCTCTTAAATGTTGCTGGAATAATTCTTAAGTTCATATTTCTCTGTTATCAGACAGATGTTAGTTCTGGGTTTGAATCTAATTGTCTTCAAGTGACTAAAATTTTGTGGAACTCATTATTATTTTTTTTTTGTTTAGATGGAGTATATAGCAGAAAACTCAAAGAGGCCTACCAACAATTCAGTCCTGATTACGGAGGAGACAAAATCTGTGTCTGTGCCGGCAAGTGACGAGAATGTTGGATCTCAGGTATCTAGACCTCGATCACATGTTTGGGATCATTTTGAAAAAACAAATGAAGGATTGAAAGCTAGATGCAATCATTGTTCTGAATTGATTAGTTGCCGAACAAAAAGAGGTAGCACCACTAGTGCAATGCTTAATCACTTGAAAACTTATTCGCGTTTAGTATGTGATATACCTGATGAGAAGCATGGGGAGAAGACGAAAAACAAGTAACTTTGCATCATCGATTGAAAAGGAAGGTTGATGAAGTAGATAATGTCCTCTCTTATGTGCAATTTGATCAGAATGCGTGTCGTAAGGCTTTGACGAGAATGATATTAATTATAGATGAGTTGTCTTTCCGACATGTAGAAAAGAAAGGGCTTGAAGATTATACACATGCGCTTCAACCTTTATTTTCAATAACGGCTCGAAGGACTTTAGTTCGTGATTATTTGAATCTGTATGTGGAGGAGAAGAATAGGCTGAAAAAGTTTTTCAAAAGTTATACGGCTGGTGTTTGCCTTACCATAGATTTATGGACATCCACTCAGAATCTTAGTTATATGTCTTTGACGACACATTTCATTGATAGTGATTGGATGTTACGGAAGAAAATCATCAAATTTTGTCAAGTAACTAGTCATCATTCCGGTGACATAATTGTGAAGACAGTTGAAAGGTGTATACTTGACTGGGGAATCGACAAAGTGTTCTCTGTTACAGTAGATAATGCAAGTGCTAATGATACGGGAATGAGATACTTGAGAGATAGATTAAAAGTTTGGGGTGGATGTGTCTTAGATGATGAATATCTTCATATGCGTTGTGGTGCCCATATATTGGACTTGATAGTGAAAGATGGTTTGCAATATATGGATACTTATATTTGCCGAATCCGCTCAGTGGTTCATTATGTAAGATCTTCTTCCATGAGATTCCAACGTTTCAAAAGTTGTTTGGAGAAGCAAAAACTCCCTACAAACACACGTGTTGAATTGGATGTGGAAACAAGATGGAATTCCACTTATACTATGTTGGAGTCTGCTTTAAAAGTCAAGAAAGCTTTTGATTTGATTGAGTTGCAGGATGAGAAGTATGTGGATGAACTAAAAAAGAATAGAAAAGTGGTGATTCAGAAGAAGATTGTTCACGAGTAAGTGCTTTGTTGTCTTTTTTAAAAGTCTTTTATGATACCACTGTGAAGATTTCTGGTTCTCAGTATGTGACCGGAAACTTATATATGAAAGAGATATTTACAGTGGGAGTATGTATTAAGGTGATGAGTATGAACGAAAATGAAATGATTCGCTCAATTGCATTGCAGATGATAGACAAGTTTCGCAAGTATTGGAGGGATTACAAAATAATGAATCCTTTGATTTTATCTTACAACTATTATTGATCTGCTTCTCTTGATTAGAAAATGCACTTATGTCGGTAAAATTTTATAGACGAAAACATTTACAAGAGAGAATTAGGAAATAAGGAAAGGAAATATGTTTAAAACGTTTACATAGACATTGTATGCAATCGGATTCTTGATCGACCAATGGCTAGATGACGTCTTGTTCGTTCGTCCGTGTTCAATTCCCATGCAACAACATACTTTTATTTTTTTGTTATCGTGGAAACCCACCTGTTATCCTTCAGGCGTGCTGGTTAGATACATCTCGTCCATATGCACGAATCCACGATACACACGTTGAAGATAAATCAGTCGTAATTGACGGATGACAGAGGTAACCGCTCGGATAAAGGGCGAGTAGGGATATCAATTGAGTTGGCCCAACCCATTTGGGTCCAATCCATTTGGATTTCAAGGATAAACGGGTTGGGTTGGGTCGATCCGTTAATAATAGTGGATGAGTTGGGTCGACCCATTAAACCTGTATAAACCATATAAATCCATTTTTATATTCACAAATTACTTATATACATATAACTATTAATATGTATATTCATATAACCTAGAAATTATCATTTTAATATTCGATCTGGTTTATCCATTCAATAAAAATATATATATAACTGGATATTATATTATATTCGATAGTTTATAAGCAAAATTATATATTTCTTTAAAAAAAATAAGATTTTTTTATTTTTTAAATTCGATTCGATGTTTTCAAAATATTGTCGTTTAGATTTTTTGAACGGGTCGGCTCAAAAACGACACCGATTTTTTCAATATGATTCGATTCAGAAATGGTTCGAGTTTTCCGGTATGATGCGAATTTTCGGTACGATTCGATTCGGAACAGTACCGAGTTTTTTTTATACGATTTGAATTTTTTGGCACAATTCGATGCGAAAACGACACCGAGTTTTTTTATACGATTCGATTCGGAACGGTACCGAGTTTTTTATATGATTCGAATTTTTCGGCAAGATTCGATTCGGAAACGACACCGTGTTTTTTGGTACGATTCGATTCGGAACGGTACCGAGTTTTTTATACGATTCGAATTTTCCGACACGATTCGATTCGGAAACGATATCCAGTTTTTCGGTACGATTCGATTCGGAACGGTACCGAGTTTTTTTATACGGTTCGAATTTTCCGGCATAATTCAATTCAGAAATGACACCGAGTTTTTCGATATGATTCGATTCGGAAACAAAACCAATTTTTTTTTGTTCGATTCAGAACGGTATCGAGTTTTTATACGATTCAAATTTTTCGGCACGATTTGATGCGAAAACAAAACATAATTTTTCGATACGATTTGATTCGAAAACGATACCAAATATTTCGATTTAATTCGTATATATATATATATATATATATATATATATGTTAATTTTTATATATCTAAATATAACAATTTTAATTAGTTAAAAGATGAGTTTAATTTTAACTAAATATATAATGATGAATTTAATAGGTTAACCATTTAACCCATGGGTTTAATGGGCCAAAACCCATTTAATCCATTTTAAAAAATTAACCAAATGGGCTAACCCATTTGGGTTTATAAGTGGGTCGGGTTGAGTCGACCCGTATAACCCGACCCATTTTGACATCCCTAAGGGCGAGGAGTCGAACACGTACCTTATTTACCATGCAAGGAAACTCTCGGTGACGTTTTCTTCTTTCATGTGCCGATGGTTCGCTGCGGTAAATTTCATAATGAATTTTGTTATACCCAAAAATCAAATTTAAAAGGCATATCAAATTTGTTCTGATATATGTATGTATGTAGAGGTGGGCTTCCACCGTGTGGATTGAGAGTTCTATATTGCCTTTGGAATAAATTATTTATATACATCACATTCACTTGTCTCGTGTCAATCCTTTTATTAAATGTTTTAATATTTAATATTTGATTAAAAACGTTTGTGTAAGTGTAACTAAGTCGTAAATGTCAAAATATTTTAAAACCAAAATTGTTTATTTTTTCCTTTTTGGAATAAAAGGTGCTTAGATAGGGTTGGATGTTAATGAAATGCCACTTATTAATTAATTCCATCTCAAACAAAGAACATTAACGACCTTAACAAAATCAAAAGGTTTTGGATTTGCTCTAAATTGAAAAACTTGCCAATATATATATATATATATATATTTCCGTTTATACCCTATAGACGTTATTACACACCAGAGATACGTATAATCACAAACCACTATAAATAGCTTCATTGATCAAGTTTATATCCCCATCAGTCCACCCAATTTTACTAACCAAAATAATAAAATTAGCATGGCGACCTCCAAGTTTTCCCTTCACCTTCTCACAATTGTCTTGGCAGCTGCCCTCAGGTCATGCTCCTGCCAAAACGACACCGAATTTGGCAACGCCTTCAGCCCGGAACCCGCCTTCAGTCCGGATCCCGAATTTGGAACCGCCTTCAGCCCGGCCGGCGTCACTTGGTACGGCGATGCTGATGGCCCTGGTAGCACCGGTATGTTTATATGTTTTATTGCAGAGATTTTAATCTGTGACTCAAATTCAAATATTTATTACATATATATATTTTTTGCCGAGTAATGTGATCCACACTTTATTGTTTAAACATGATCTTAAACACCATTTTTATTTTTGTCTCTTGCCGATTATGAATGCAGGAGGAGCTTGTGGATATGGCGACGCTGTGGCGAATCCACCGTTAAACGCAATGGTTTCGGCCGGAGGCCCTTCACTATTCAGAGCCGGAAGTGGGTGTGGAGCTTGTTATCAGGTTGATCCATATATATATATATATATAATCTGTTAGATATTTCATTCAATTGAAAACACGCGTGATACATTTTAAAATATATATATAATGTTTTTATTAGATTGTATGCACGGGGAATCCGGCGTGTTCGGGAAGGCCAATCACGGTGGTGATAACGGACGAGTGTCCGGGCGGAATATGTGCTTCGGATTCGGTCCATTTCGACCTCAGCGGCAGAGCCATTGGTGCCTTAGCCAAGCCTGGCCAAGCCGCTCGGCTACGTGCTGCTGGAAATTTGCGCGTTGGATATAGACGGTACGTCCATGCATGCATGCATGCATTCAGCTACGCATATGTTCGTTCATGATTGATATACTCGTATTTGTTTCACAGCACTATGCTTGTATGATATTACAATATATATATATATATATATATATATATATATATATATGTATATGTATTTGCGCAGTGCACCGTGTTTCTACAAGGGGACAAACGTGGCATTCCGAATCGACGCTGGAGCAAATGCGTTCTACATGGCGTTTCTGGTGGAGTACGAAAATGGCGACGGTGACTTGGCCTCCGTGGAGATCCAACCCGCAGGCGGCGGGTACATGTCCATGCAAGAGATGAGGTCCGCCGTCTGGAAGCTCAATTCCGGGGGAGCTCTGAGAGGCCCCTTCAACGTCCGTCTAACGTCCGGCGAGTCTCGCAAGGTCGTCGTGGCTCAGGCCGTTATTCCGGCCAACTGGAAGGCCGGCGCTACTTACCGCTCCATCGTGAACTTCTAGTGTGGGTTTCAAATATATGATTTCGTTCCGAAGATATATGTTTTGAATAAAGCGATCGTTCGAGTTATGCCGAAATTATTGGGATTTCATTCATTTCCTTGAAAAAAAGTAATGGAATTAATCTACCAAATAGATTTCGACATGAAAGAAACCACATATATAATCATGCAGCTGCCCTTCCGGGGTCAGGTGGGTGGCTGATTAGCTCCTGATTCTCTAAAAGGTCATCGGTTCGATTACATTTTTCTGCGAGTTTATCATCTTTTAAGTGGTTTACCTATTTTACGTAATTTATAGGTTATTTGCGTGGAGATGAGAGTTTATTACCACCTCCGAAGGAATGCGGATGACATAACATAGTAAGAACCGAAACCAATCAACAACAGAGCGGAGATCGGA